CAAAACATTATCTCACATAAATCTCAAAAATGTTCTCCTACAGCAGTCTACCCAAGCAATAGAAATAAAAGCAAGAATAAACAAATGGGACCTAATTAAATTTACAAGCTTCTGCACAGCAAAGGAGACCATAAGTAAAACAAAAAGACAACCTATGGAATGGGAGAAAATTTTTGCAAATGATGAAACTGACAAAGGCTTGATCTCTAGAATATATAAGCAGCTCACATGACATAATAAGAAAAAAACAAACAACCCAATCCAAAAATGGGCAGAAGACCTAAACAAGCAATTCTCCAAGGAGGAAATAGAAATGATCAATAGACACATGAAAAAATGCTCAATATCACTAATTATCAGAGAAATGCAAATCAAAACTACAATGCGGCATCACCTCACGCCAATCAGAATGGCCATCATTCAAAAGTCCACAAATGACAAATGCTGGAGAGGCTGTGGAGAAAAGTGAACCCTCCTACACTGCTGGTGGGAATGCAGTTTGGTGCAGCCACTGTGGAAAACAGTATGGAGATTCCTCAAAAGACTAGGAATAGACTTACTATATGACCCAGTCATCTGCTCCTGGGCATATATCCAGAAGGAACCCTACTTCAAAAAGACACCTGCACCCCAATGTTCATCGCAGCACTATTTACAATAGCCAAGACATGGAAACAGTCTAAATGTCCATCAACAGCTGACTGGATAAAGAAGCTGTGGTATATTTATACAATAGAATACTATTCAGCCATAAAAATGACAACATAATGCCATTTGTAGCAACATGCATGCCCCTGGAGAATGTCATTCTAAGTAAAGTAAGCCAGAAAGAGAAAGAAAATACCATATGATATCACTGATGGCTGGATAAAGAAGATGTGGAATATTTATACAATGGAATACTACTCAGCCATAAAAACGACATTACGCCATTTGCAGTAACACGGATGTACCTGGAAAACGTCATTCTAAGTGAAGTAAGCCAGTAAGAGAAAGAAAAATACCACATGAGATCGCTAATATGTGGAATCTTAAAAAAAAACATAAATACAAAACAGAAACAGACTCATAGACATAGAATACAAACTTGAGGTTGCCAAGGGGGCGGGGGGTGGAAAAGGACAGACTGGGATTTCAAAATTTGTAGATACTGACAAGCATATGCAGAATAGATAAACAAGGTTATACTGTATAGCACAGGGAAAAAATATATACAAGATCTTGTGGTAGCTCACAGCGAAAAAAAATGTGACAATGAATATATGTTTGTTCATGTGTAAATGAAAAATTGTGCTCTACACTGGAATTTGACACAACATTGTAAAATGACTATAACTCAATAAAAAATGTAAAAAAAATTTAAAAAATTAAAAACCCAAAAAATTCTTTCACTACTGCTCTCCAGGGCTCAGTAGTTTATGGTAACCCTCAAACTTTAGGGAAGGCCTCCTTTTGGGAAAGAGTAGACAGGTGGAGAAAATGGATAATTTGATAAATAATCCCTTTAAAATGGGTACAAATATATCTCAGACTCTTTTCTGTCTATATCGAAGGGCATGAAGCCTTTACAAGCTGGGAAGTACTTAAACAATTGTAATTAACTATTTCAGATATATAGTGTGGTTTAAAGTAAAATAATGAACTACTGTGTATCCAATCTTCAGATCAGGAATAAAACATTACTGTGTTAATTGCCTCCCTCTGTCCTTCTCTGACTACTTTTCCATCCCTCTTTGCAAAGATATCCACTACAAACTGCTTTTAAATTTATCTGAAGTCCAACCACTAAATAAGCACTGTAATATCCTAAACAATACAAAATGTTGACAACTTATTTTTTACAGTTTCTGAGGAAGGCAGGGATGCTAATACATCCTAGTCACAGATACAGCTGAATATACTCTTACCTGCCAAACACAAGAAATGTCTTCATATGCTTTGAATAGACACTCCAAGGAATATGGACAGGAAACTAAAAGTATCTATGTGGTTGTTTAAATAAGAGTCAATATTTTCATTTGAAAATAATTCTACTGACGTCTGAACTAAAAAAAAACATTTAGGTCACAGAGGGTTGTAAATGACCTGGCATGTTTGCACTGGCCCTTCCCATACTTAAACAGAGCCATATTCTTTCTCCTGCAGTTAACACTCTGGGTCTCTCCCCTGGGCCACATTCATGGGCATAGAACACAGACACACACAGACACACATGCAGAGGAAACAGCCTCAGAAGCAATATCCTGAATACCTCAAGCCACCCGTCATTTCATTAAATTGATATCAACTGATTATTTTACTAAATGGACCTAGGATGGGATTAAACTGACAGAGCAGTAATCAAAATGGACCAACTAGAGTTTCTGGCCCCAACAAAATAGAAATTGACTAAAAAAAAATTAAAATTATGAAATTGCTGAGGTCATAGTTTGTTTTTAATTGAGCCAACTCTAGTTTCTTTGGGGCTTGGTGTTTATTTCTAAAGCGTAACTAAGGAGCTCCCTACTTTACATAATCTGTAAGAACCGTGCTACCTACCATTTGGCTTTCTATAACATTCCCTAGTCATAAACACACCCAGAAATTTGGGAGTAGTCTCGGATTTGTTCATCTGGTGGTGCTAATGTAGGCTAGGCAAGTTGGAGAGACATTTGAATGAGGCGGGGCTGTGCTCCCCAGCATAGTGAAGAGAGCAATTAGTGCCTCAGTTTGCATCTCCAGGCACCTGGTCTTAGGTCTGGTGCAATGACTCCTCATGTATTCCTATACCTCAAAGAACTGGCAACCCCAGCTCTAATGATGACCTAAAATAAGTGGAATTTATTTTAAAAATTCTAGAGAGGCTCTCGTGTAGCAGTGATAGCGACAGTGTAGAAATTATAAGAAATATAAACTTCACACTGTTTCTCTTTGCATTCCTGAATACTGTGTCCCCATCCCACCTTGGACTACTAGTTCCCTAGACAGAAAGAGGAGGGGACTTTTGGGTGGCATCCAACTTGCAGATCTGGTGGCTGTTTTGTCCACCTGAAGATACTACAAGCTATTTTGGAGTCAAGAAATTATTCTAGACCTAACTATCCCAACTCATCACAAAAACTACCCCCATCCCTGTCTGAGTTTCTCCAGGGGACTGCAGCACAAATATTTTCTAAGAAACCCTTGAAAACCTGCTAAGATACTCCAAGACCCCAATAATTTAGGTTGTAATGCGAAGTTGAGATATTGATGTACAAGAGGGAACACAGGCAGTCACTCAGACTTTATTCTGCTATGCTTAAAAAATATGCTGTGTATCCAGATATATTTCTCACCAGAGCTTACCATACTTTAGTATATCTCAACAACTCAGAGCTCCCATGAGTACCTGAAATGTTATAATTCAAGACCTGAAACTGAATTTCCTGTTTTGCTTTAAATTCACTATAATTGAATTAGGAGAAAAAAATAAGAGTGAAAAAATAAAATTCTCCTTACTTTCCAGCAGATCTGAGTCTATTGTTCTACGCTAATTCACTGTAAATTAACTAATCCACCACAATTGGTAGAACTACACTAGATGTTGACAGTATTCTGACTTGCTCAGGGAGAGAACTTGTACCAGTCTGGAAGACTGAAGAGAACAAAGCAACTGAAATCTGGCGGCGCCCTAGGACATTCCCACCTCTACTGTCTGGCAATGAGGCAGAAGGAGAAAAAAACACAAAAGTAAACAATGGCTTGTTCATTCTTACAGAACCTCCAATCATTTCTAAAGACCTCTGGAGAGGTACAGAGAAATGTTTCCTTCTTAACAACCCTTTCAGGCTGGAAGTATTTCCGCTGAGCTAGTGCAAGTCCTGCTGTAATATAAAGGCTTCTTCCTCCACTGTACAGAGCTGCCCACTAGCCTGTGTGCAGACATCTTTCCAGTCACTCCAGGCTAAAGTTAATGAAATACCCTTTCTTATCCAAGTTAATAAATGCCTCTTGATATTTGCTGGTTTCTTGAGATGGTCATCCCCCATTACCGCTATCATCTTCCAAGGC